TCCTAGGGGGCCTCAGAATAGGTGGGGCAATAGTAGAGCCACAGCTTCTTGCTCCTGTGAGTTTAATGGAAAGACAAATATTGTAGGATTCAGTGGCTGCTAGATTACATTCCGCTTCCTTCTCAGCCAGGTGCAGAGGGCATGACCTTCAGGGCCCACTGAGCTCCCATAGGCAAGTTTCCGGGCCAGGGCCATGCAGGAGCCGAATGGAGAAAGTGACCTGTTGTCTGGGTTCAGCACAGAGCCAGCAAGAGGAGGGCAACTGGTGCCCCCCACAAAGTCACCTCACATGTACGGTCGCCTGAGTGCTCAGCAGCCTGGGGACAAAGGTTGAATCCTAGAAGTTTTCAGGAAACGTGCTCTCTCCCTTAAAGTCTGATGAACAAATGAAGGCTCCTATTGCCCAAGGAGTCCCAACCTAGCCCACCTATCCCCCCAAACCTCTCCTCTGTGTTGGGCTGGACAGAACATGAGCAGACCAGAGTCAGGGATAACCCCAGAGAGAAGGGTACTTGGAACACTAAACCCATAAGCTTGAAGGCAGGGATTCTGGGATAGCCTTGGGCCCGAAGCCACCCCCCCAGGCCAAATAGGGAGCTGAGGTCCTGGCTTAGTGCACCATCACCCTCATTGAGCAGCATTTCCCTCCCCCATCTATATTCTGGAGGCCGAGCAAGTTATCAGACATTTTCCTCCCAGACCGGAGTAGTCAGGACCCAGAGGGCAGTGGGGAAGCTCAAGTAAGGGCAGTACTCGGGGGACCAGCCTGGGGTCTAATGGCCTGGCAAGCAGACACCACTTCCAGCCAGCTCCAGGATGAAGGGGCTTCTCCTGACACTGGAGGACTCCTGGCCCGTCCTTCTCCTCCCTCTTCTCCCCACTTTACAAGAGTGGCTGTTTTGCTCGGCAGCCTGGCTTCCTGGCTAGCACAGAGCTCAATTTGGTGGAGGTCTTGACAGAGTCCAGGACTGCTTCATGGAAAGTGCCCAATATATATATTTTTTTAATTGCCAGAGGGCGTGCATGTGTACTGGAGAGAGGGAGAAGAAGAACGTCCCCCCCTATAGGGTGTGGTCACACCATAATCCCTTCCCCTCCATTTCTTTATCCAGTTGGAATTTTTAGCATGCACACACACACATGTGCCTGGTATGTGTTTTCAAGCCACAAGTTGGGATTCGAACTATGGTCAGCCATGTGGAATTTGGCACCTTTAACCAGTAGGCTATGGGACTAGCCTGAAAGAGCCTGATCTTTGAAGCCAGGCACAACAGGTTCAAATTCCAGTTCTGCCACCAACTTGCTGTGTGACCTTGGGCCAATTGTCTTTCCCACACGTCTTCAGGAGCCTCAGCACTTTCTATAAATGGGGGCAGTCGTCTTCTCTACCTTCCAAGGAGTTATGAAGACTAGAGAGGATGTCTGAAATCGCTAGGAGGTACCTCACACATAGTGGGTGCTCCAGGAATGCAGTTCTTTTGAGATGTTCCTCACGGCTCTAGGATTCTAGAAGCCATACTAGCAATGCAATAAGGAAGGTTCTGTGTGGATTCTGGGGGGAGAGAGTGAGCAGGGCTGAGCCAGAGGCCAGCTTGGTTCCTAGTGGCAACTGAGAGGGCTGTGAGCCTTGGCAGATGGGACAGGTAAGGTGGCATGCTCAGAAGGGCTACAAGAGAACCTCAGCACACCCTCCCTGGTAGGCCTGGGTGATAGTGGGCTAGCTATGCCCTGTCCCCATAACCTGGCTGTCCCTTTCTTGTTCACACCTACCCATCCTCAATCTGAGAGCCACAAGGGCAGTGTGTGTGTCTAAGACAACCCAGTAAGACATTGCGTACTGGGATAAAAAAGCCTCTTCCAGTAAACCTGACTCAGCCTTCACGGGGCTGACTTTGCCCCTGGCCCTCTCCTGACCTAACCGTCCCTACCGCCATCAGCCAAGCTCTTACCATGTGCCTGCCAGGAGCAGCGCTGTGGTGCTGGGACCTTCCCACACTCACAGCGTGGCCGGGGGAGGTTTCCATGGGGTTGGTCTCAGAGCCTCCCAGCTCCAGGCCTCAGTGGAGGGTGCAAGCTTGCCCGTGGCTTGTTCCCTACTCCCAGACACTCAGCTCCCAACATAGTTGACCCTACGTTGAGGAAACGATCACATGTGTGTGCGTAGGGTGGGAGACGCCAGGAAGCAGGGTCTAAGCCTGACGTGGTGCTGATCTCACTTGACTCCAGCACTCCCAAGGATGTCCCCCACAAGACTGCACTCTCTGCACCAGGGCCTGTGGGCCCCAGCAGATGGGCAGGTGCAGATGGGGTTGCTAATGTGAGCTGGGGGGAGAGGGCATCTGGGAAGGCCCTGCTCCAAGGAAAACAGAGGGGTCTATGGGGCCCTCAGACTTCAGCCCCACCCATCCCACACTCATCTCCCCATTCGAACTGCCTCTCTCAGCTCCCCCAGCCTCCAGAGTCAGCCCACTGGGACTGGGAAGTCTTCCAATGAGGGGCAGGACCCTGTGTCCCCCAGCTCGGGTTCTGTGTGTGGTTGTGTCCACCCCTGGGCCCAGAGGTCCTGAGGGCAGGAGGGCAGCAGCAGCTGCCTCAGGCTGGCCCCCTGGCAGACCCAGAGAGCCCTGGTGGGGACATGGCACCGAAAGAAGAGAACTGCAGGAAGCCCAGAGGACTTTCCAAGTCATTTTCCTTTATTTTCTTAATGGTTAATAAAATTCCAAATCAAGAGAGACATATACACAGAGAAGACAGATGCAGGGTCCCAGTGCAGCAGCTAGGCCAGGCAGGGAGTGGGTCAGCCCCGTGCCCTGTCGCTACCCTCACCCCCTGGACCCTGGCCAGCGCTCAGGCAGAAATCGAGAAGCTGAGCATGAGAAGGCTCAGCATCCTGGTCCAGGAAGCCGCCAGAGACAGGCCGGGCCAAATCGTTATCTAGCCATGGGACCTTGGGCCTCAGTTTCCTTATCTGTGAAGTGGACTAGAACTTCCTGCTGCTGGGGAATGGAGAAAAGACTGTGCAGATGTGAAGTGTGGGTGGTGCCAAGGGCCTCCTGGTTGGCCTGCACGTCTAGAGGCCTGCATGCACATCGCCGGGCTGAGCAGTGGTGGGGTGCTCTGGCCCCACTGGACTGAACGGACTTATAGTGAGGGGAGAACTGGGCCCCCAAGAGAGCCCTGCTCCAAACTGCAGTCCCTGGCCTGCATTGCAGCTGCTTCATCAGGTCAAGCTCGTCTCTCCCCTCTGAGCCAGGGAGGCAGGCTATGACTGGGGGTCACACAGCCAGCCCATGCAGGTCAGCAACCTCCCCAAGATGCCTCCACGCAGGGCTCATGAACAAGGGGGGCCATTGATCTTTCAGCTCAGGACCTGCTATGGGCATGGAAACCTTCCAAGGGCCCAGTGAGGGCGTCTGCCACCCCGGCTGCTCTGCATCAGGATCACTCTGGCCTCAAACTTGGGGCTTATTTAATAAACTCACACCCTCAGAATGGCCTCCTGTGTCTACACTGGCAAGAGGAAGCGGAGAGCTGAAATAACAGTGGAAACGATGTGGCGATGCGAAGGGAGGTGGGCCTTCCTCCTTCGCCCTCGCAAGGGCCCTCACCCTGCCACAGCCAGCCTTGTCGGGGAAGCCTCTCCACAGGGAACCAGGACTGCCTTTCGCTCCCAGCTGTGAAGCGTGTCAGCACGTGCACACATGTGCACACACATGCGTAAATGCAGCTAGGCTCTGGGGAAAAGAACCCAGGGCAGCACTATCTAGCGACCTCTTTTGGAACTTGTGGTGTGTTTACAGTTGCAGGACCTCAGGGTGCCTCGGGCGCGTGCAGATCTTCTTGTCCTTGCCACTTTCCAGCAGGGTCACTGAGACGGGCCCTGAGATAGGGACAATCCCAAGGTCATGCAGCAAGTCCGAGGTGGAAGGCCCTGGGAGCAACCCCAACCGAAGGGGCGAAGCGAGTCTGCAGCTTGCCCTGCCCTGCCTCCCCTGGCGTCTCTCCCCTGCACGGCTCTCGCAGGGGCAGGGGGCATGCTGGAAGAATCTGGAGGGCCCTGCCCAAAGGCACGAAGCGGTAGTGGCGGAGGCCCAGGCACCTGCAGCAGGTGGGTTGGTGAGCAACTTTGGGAAAGGGGGGGACTTTCTGGCACACCTCCCATCACACTCTGAGGGGACAACTAGCAGGTGGGTCCCTCTCTTTCACCTCCTCCACGACTTCAAGGGAGTGGGTGAATTGGCAAATCGTCTTGGTCCCCAGAAAGCTCTGAGGCCAGGGAACAGAAAGAGAAAGAAAGTGATAGAAACGCCCCCAACTGTGACTTGACCACCCAGGTCTGGTGGGTCTTTGGGAAGTGATTTTGGCCAGCTTGTCAGAGTGTCTACAATATGGTTTCTGCCCTCCCCGCCCTCCGCCCGCCCATGCCCCACCCCTTCACGATGCCCGGGCCAGGTCGCCTCTATTTGGGCTTCATTTCCACCCTGGAGTTGATGTCGTCAGCATCCAGGTCGTACTCTTCCACCTGGCCACTGGTCCACACCTTGACGCGGTCTGTGAGGTCGCTGCTGCGCGGGGCCAGGATGAAGTCGTAGATGAGCACGGCGAGGGCGCCCCCGATGAACGGCCCCACCCAGAAAATCTAGGACAGAGAAGCCCACTCAGAGGCGAGGCCAGCCGCTGGCCTTCGAGGTCCGCCACAAAGCCCTCCCCTGGGACGTCTTCCCCCAGTGACCTCACCCACCACCCCAGTGGACAGGTTCTCTCCCACCTGTGCCTACAGCAGGCCCAGGCAAGGCCAAACCCCAACAGCCTGGCTCCAGTGCCCCCTGAACTGGCGCAGGCCAGTATGTGCAGTGGGGCATCTTTTTGCCTCTGTGTGTCCCTGTCCACGTCCTCCTTGAGATGACACTGGCCCATCCTCCCCAGCTTCAGAGAACCCCAGAGCCTGTGAGCATTCTAGAAGGTGGGCCCAGCACATGAGCTAAATGCCCCAGTGCTGCCTCTGGGCTGAGTGCAGGCACGACAGTGAGGCCTTTCCTCCTGCAGCAGCCCTGGGAGGTCGGAACTGCCATACTCCTTCACAGCTCAGGAAACTGAGGCACCGAGAGAGCAAGCAGTGTGTCCACAGGCATGCTAGGTCGGAAAGTAGCAGAGGCAGGCTTCAAACGCACGCTCTCGGCCTTACTGCTGCGATGACTGGGGGTCAGGCAGCATGGAGCATGGAGGCTGGGCCTCGGTTTCCAGACGTCCTGTGCCTGGCCGTCCCCCTGCGCCTCTGTGGTAATGGTGAAGGATGTTGCCAGGGTCTATCGGGCTTAACATGGGAGGCCACCGCCCCGCCCCGCCATGGGGCTTACCCAGTGGTTGCTGAAGTCGTGGGTGATCACCGCGGAGCCGAAAGACCGGGCAGGGTTAATGCCACAGCCGGTGTAGTCAATCTGTGAGGGGGAGCGGCAGAACAGGAAGAGGAGGGAGGCAGGAAGAAGGGGCAAGGGCAGCAATGCAGAGGTGAAGAGAAAGAGGCAAGGAGAGAGGTGGAGGAGAGGGAGGGAGAGCAGGGAAGTGGGGCAGGAAGAGTCGTGAGACCACAGAGTCAGGGAAGCCCTGTGCTCCCCTCTCCTGGCAGGGCCCTGTCCCCAGGCCGCAGAGCCAGCCTGCCCCCAACCCCTGCAGCACGAGCCCTGCTGGGAGTCCGACGTGCTGCCCATGGCAGGGCACACCACCTGCCCCATGCTGGGACTGCCCTCTCTACCCCCTCCACCCCACCTGGGAAGCCCCCTACTTACCGCCAGCAGGTGACCCAAGGCTACAGACAGGCCGATGGCCAGCGGGGCCGAGCCTCCGAGGTCACGGCGCCGCCGGTCGGTGGTGGCCAGCACGCAGAGCACCAGCTGCAGGGTACCGATGATCTCGATGCCCAGGCCCTGGCCCGAGTTCACTCCCTTAGCCAGCTGCAGGAGAGAGTCAGGAAGGGAAAGGAGGCCCAGTGAGTAAGGCAGGCGGAGTCTGTGGCCCAGGCCCCTCAGGTTCCCATGGCCCAGGCACCACAGGCCACACTGTGAATGTCTTGAGAGCCCTCACTCAGACTTCTGCGCCCAGAGGGGCCAAGATGACACCCAGGCACACAGCTGGTAGCAGAAGTCAGGCCTCCTGCTCTCCCAGTCCTCTTGATGAGGCTCCAGCTTGGCCCCTTGGACCTGCCTTGACCCTCTCCACTCTGCCTCTGGGCTGGAGAGGCCTGGGGCAGGGTGGGACCCCCACATCTAGACATACCCAGGCCAGTGTACCCAAGGCCTGGGGTAAGTCCCAGGCATGGCAAAAAATGGCCAGGGGCCTCACAGAAGAGCTGGATTAAAGGACCCAGGTAGACATTACTTCATACCCAAAAAGTCCAGAACATTCCACCCCATGCTCTGGGAAGAGTCTCCAGTTCACTCTCCAGAACCCCCCGTCCTTCTCTCCTTGTTACTCGTCTCTCTGGAGCATCCACTGTCTCTTTCCAGACCCTGGTTGTCTCTCTCCTTTTCTCTCGCTCCTGCCCTCCTGCCTCCCTTCCCTCTCCTCTCCCTCTCCCTCTCCGGCCCTGGCCCCGCCCTGCCCTCCATCTCCCAGGCTGTATAGGCCCCACCACCGTCTGGCTGCCACTTGCTCCTGGGCCACTTTTAGAAACATGACTCATGGAAAGAGAAGGGAATGGGACCTGGCATGAGCTCACCAGAACCCTCCCCCTGCAGCTGCACCAGGAAGACCCCTCCCAGGGATCCTCTGTGCCCTCTTCCAAGTGGGGATTCCAGGTACACCCACACAGATGAGCTAGGCTACACTGGCCAAGACCCAGCTACAAAGATACCCGGATGTGGCCACTTGGGCTGCCCTCTCCTGGACTGGGTGGGTGTGTCCAAACAAGTCCAAACATGAAGGCTCATATTCCAGCCCCCATGCTGAGGGTAAAGGGGTATCTCCAAGGTCACGGGGAATTCTGCAAACTCCTAAGTGGGGCGCACACCTCCACCTCCCAAGACATTCTCCCAGGCCCACCCCGAGGCCATCTTATGAGAACAATTCTCTTCCCGCCTTTGTCTGCAGCCCTGGCTTACAGAGAATGACTCACATCCCCTCCCCTGCACGGCAACCCCAACTCCGGGCTTTTCTTGGCCAGCTCCAAAGCTGTGTCCCTTCAGGTCCGCCAGTCCTCTGGGCATTGCCCAGCTCTTAGCCCACCCAAGGCCGGCCCACGGAGGAAGAAGCCTTTGCTGAGGTCCTGACTCTGCTATGTGCTGGCACTGTGAGCGTGGCCTGTTCCTTCTCTGGTCCTCAGTATCCCCATCTGCAAAATGGATCTAATTGTCTCTGTCCACTCTCCAGAGCATCAGAGGCACCTGGGGCTGTCTCGGATCATTGGGCAAGAGTTAGGATCTGGCTCTTGTCCTGGTCCTTTCTCAACATGTCTGAGGATTTTGGGGACAGGTAGAGGGGGGAGGGGCCTGCCTGGAGCTGGGACAGGCTCGACGGAGGTGAGGCACGTGAGGCTGCTGAGGCTGGGCCGGCCAGCACTGATGCCTACCCACCCCCACATCTGTGAGGCCTGCACTCTCTGCACCAGACACCATGCTCAGAGCACTGGAGAAGTTCCTGGCTCCTTCTCCTCCGCTGCTCCGCTCTCCAGGCTCAGGCTAATTGCTAGCTGGCGGGAATCCTGAGACCAGCCCTTCTTTGCTGATTGATGGGGCCATGGCTGGAAATGGTTCCCACCTCAGACACCTCCACCTGACCCGGCCTCTCTACGGCTGCAGCCACAATGAGCTCATCTCCTCTGGTTCTTAACCAGGTCTGAGAGTCCATGAGAGGCTCGGAGACACCTCTGTTCAGGCAAAGAGAGCAGAGGTGGGTATGGTTTCAGGCCCAGAGCTCTGAATCCTTGGGAAGGAAAATGAGCAGCCATCCACCCTGCAAACTCCAGGACCACATGAGTTGGAAACCTTCCTCTCCCCATACCTACCACCACCACCACCTGGAAGCCTCCCTTGTTTGCTTCAGCATCTACTGATGACCTCCTTCGACTACCTAATGCACTTGCGTTACTTACATCTGGGAAAACTTGACTACTGAGAATTGGAATGGGTAGTTAACCTCACTCCCGGCTACCCTCGCCCCCATCTCCACATCCCTGTGCAGGTGGGGCCCCTTCCCTAACTGCCCCTACTGAAACTTGCTTTCTAGGAAAAAGGAGGTAAAAAAAATTGAAATTTATGTTACTGTTTATAATCCACTAAATTAGAAAGAATTGCTTAAATAGGGCAATCCCAGTTGCAATGACCTATTATTGAAAATATTAAGTAGCTACTTTTTTTTTTTTGAGAGGTTTCTGCTGTAGGGCACGTGGCTCGCCAGATAGAGAGAGAGAGAAATAGAGACAGAAAGCGAGAAATCGCCCCCCAGGGGGGATGACCACACCACAATCCCTTCACCTCCATTCTCCTCTCGGGATCTTGGGCACGCACGCACACATGCCCAGCGTGAGTTTAAGCCACCGCGTACAGGACTCCAACTGCGGTCGACTACGTGGGAGTCCAGCGACATAGCCATTACACTAACTGCTGGTCCCTAGTAAGTAGCTACTTTTGCTTGGCCCAGGTCTTTTACTCAGTGCTGAGGGCCAAAAGAAGCGTAACTGTTAAGTGAAGGCAAGGTGAGCTATAGAATCATCCGTACATTTCTTCTAAAGACCAGAAAGATGCAGGCTCTCCATTTGCCTGCCAGATCCACAGAAGCCAGTGCTCCAGGCCCAGGTCAGACCTTATCAGTTCCAAGAATATCTCCCAAAGCGCGGGTTAGATTTAACAACTGCCCCCCATCCTGCCAGGCCTTCACTGAATTCTGTGCATCTTGTAGAAAAGGGACTCCTTCTGCAACCTGGATGGGTACCTCATCTCCTCCTGGCCCAGAGCTCAGTGAAAATGAAGGGGGAACTTTCAGCATCTCCCTGCCCTAAACCTCTGGGGAAGGCTGACGGTGTGGCAACAGACAGGCAGAGTGCTGATTTTCCAGCGCTCTCATCCCCTCTAGGGAAGCTCTCTGGACCCAAGGCCAGTTTATTCACTTCCTAGCTGGAGAGGATGGGCTAGTCATTAGCCTGTGGCTGTCTCGAAGGGCAGCCTGTGCCAGGGCTCAGTGAGATGATGGTGGGGAGGTGGAAGCTCCGCGAGGAGAGGGCAAAGTTGGGATCCTTACCCAGGGTCTGTGCCATCCCACACTCACAGGCCAATGCGCTGGTTACCACACGTCCAGCCAAGGGACCTGGCTGCTCCCAGCCTGGACTAGGGACTGGCAGAAGGTGGCTCTGTGGCTGCCAGCATGTCGCCAGCTCCAAAGCTACCCAGAGCTGACCTGTCCAGGCAATAGGCTCTGAACCCTCCCTGCTTCCCATGGGCAGGCCATCAGGGTAGCTACCAACACCCTGGGCCCCTGAGTTGGCCTGAGCACTCTTGCACCCCACCTTAAAGAGCAGCTGGCTCCAGAGCCAGGCCTGGCCAAGGCTCTGAGCATCTGCTCTCAAGGAACAGGGGCCAGGAAACAGGAAGGTCAGCTTTACTACCCTAGTGCCTCTGGACTCATCACTGGGCCGTGGGGGAGCTCAGTGAGCCCCACCATGTCACCCCGCTGTGGGTATCCACACCACGGCTCTGTGTGTCTGCTATATTGGTGGGTGACCACGTGTGCCCAAGGTGACTCTTTTCCATTACACTTTAAGAGGGGAATTATACAATCATCAAGGGGAAGCTCAATTAAATAACTACAAAAATTCTCAACCTGTATGCACCAAACATTATGGGCTAAAAATAAATGATGCAAAAATTGACCGAATTACAAGGAGAATTGGATCACCCTACTACCAGAGTAAAAGATGTCAACAAGCCTATTTTGGGAACTAAAAGAATGAAGCCATCAAAAAAAATACCCATGACAGGAACAGCGAGCATGTGGGCCACACACAGCGGTCCCCCCACCCATCTGCAGCGGATGTATTCTAAGAGTCCCAGTGGGTGCCTGAAGTCACAGCTGGCATTGAATCCTATAGCCAAGGGGACTTCAAAAAGTTCATGGACACGTCGGAATTATAGTACCATACTATTCTGGTGCAAAATTTTTTTAAATCCATGCGTAGTTCTCACACGTACATTGCCAGGAACTTGTCGAAAGACCCCTCGTCAACTATTCTTTCTATACGTGTGTATCTATGACAGATTTTAATTTCTAAATTAGGCACGGTAAGAGATGAACAGTAACTAATAATGAAACAGAAGCATTACCACAGCGTGCTGTAAGTAAGTTACGTGCGGGGGGCTTTCTCGCTCGCTCTCACGAGGTCTTGCTAGGCTATCCTCACTCTCCCCATGATGGCGTGAGGTGATAAAATGCCTACACGGCCAGACGAAGTGAGGTGAATGACGCAGGCACTGTGACGTAGCATTAAAACGTACGATTTTCTTATTCCTGGGATTTTCCATTTAACGTTTCCAGACCACGGTTCACTGCAGGTAGCTGAAACCACGGCAAGGGAGACCACGAAAATGGGGAGACTACTCCAGTGAACAAACTTGACTTAAGGCAAACATGGAAATCCCCAGGTTAGAGAATACACGCTCTTTTTAAGCCCAGGTGAGGCAAACTGATCAGGGATGGGCCAAGTGCCCCTCAACTCTCCACGAGAACCCCCAATCACCCAGGACACCCCCTCACCAAGGCAGGCTTTCCACGTTGGAGGTCTCTGAGTGCCATGAGGTCATGGATGCGTGCTGTGTGTTTGCTCGGCATGCCTGATGGCATTTCTGAGTGTGTCACCTTGTCTTTGGGTGTCGCACACATACACAAATACTGCTACTGACTGGAGAAGGGTGGAGGGAGGGGGAGGGAGGGAGCCGTTTGGGTGATGGAGTAGCCAGTAAGAAGG